GTGAGTTGAGAAAATGGCAAGAAATAGGCGTGATATTCCAACGTTCTGGGAGCCATCTTAAGGGATGTTTGGGGAATGTTTATCTAATAAAATGATTATCTCCTTAAACTCCACGAAGTGTATTAAGGGAAATTACAGCGGCGGATGTTAAATGTGTTGGTGGATGAGGGAGCGAAGGAAACGAAAGAAAGGGAAGAGAGAATAAAATGGGAAATAAAGGTGTGTCCGGTCTGGATCAGCTGACGGCGGCGGCGACGAACAACATTATTTTATCCCTTTTCTGTTTTTATTGCTCTTAGGCCTCGTCGTCTTGTATTTGAGTTCCTTTTGTCCACTTTATCGTCACGTTGTAGAGGGAATAGGTGAAAATGGGATGATAAAAGAAAATCGAGGGTCTTGTGGGTCAGTATGTGTTTTTTTGACAGTTGGTTCTGCTCAGACGGTTTCACTTATTCGTTATTTTCTTTACTTTTTCCATTAGTCTCATTTGCTTGTCGTTATTTCTCTTGTGATGCATAAGGTGGGATTTGCATACATATGGCCTTTTGAGCAACTTAAATGTTCAGAATGTATTTGTCAGCCTGTTTATTGATTTTGAAGCCTTTATATTGTATATATTTTGAATCTTGTATATTGATTATGAAGAATGTTGTATTGTATTTACTTTTGTAGTTGACATTATATGTAATAGCATTGCTTATTCAGGATTTTCCTGTACAATATTGATGAGCTGTCTGATATTATCAACAGTTGTAGAAATTTACCAATGGTCAATGTTTATTATTAATATTTTTTCATTCATTCAATCACACTATTTGTAATGACAGCATTCAAATGCTGATGTATTAAGTCCTTTCTGAACAGGAGTAATGAGTCCCAACATATTTTTCATTTTTGAACCAGTTTGTGAGGAACACTTTTGGGATAGATTCTAGACTACATGTAGTATAGAACCCATAAATACTTGGTTGCCATTATTTAAACCAGTATTCGGAATAAGGTAAGTATTCACCAGACATGGGGGTCAATGTGAATCTAGGCAGAGTGCATGACATGCTAAAACTTGGAAGAAAGCTGCTAATAGTTGTCATGAAAAGAAATGTAATTGGCATAAAGTACATAGATAACGTAATTAGCGGAGTGCAATTGTAAAGCCACAATCCTTTATCAAGGTCGGCAAATTGCAATGACACTGTGGCCTCTTCATTCTGAGTTTTAAGAAAGAGGAATAAATCTCACCCAGGTGTATTCAAGCAAAGTAGAGGTGGTTGATCACCCAGGTAATTTAGTTCAGTAATGAACTAGTCGGTCTTATCTAACCAATGATATGTGGGAGTTATGTTGGTCTGTGCTTGAACAGGAGATGCAGAAGTTGTGGTGTTGCTTTAAGTGGTCCTATTCTGAATGATTACCTGTAGCTTTGAGTGGATGTGAAATTAATTTTGAGGATCATGTTGTCAATTTGAGAAGAGTGAAGAAACAGCTGTTTAGTTTCTGCAATAAAGAAATGAATTTTCTCTTATGTTGCATCATTGTTTAAAGGGTTGATATTTTTTTTTTTGGTGTGGAGTAAATGTCAACTGCTTGTTACAGCATTTTGGTATGTTAGGGCAGCAGTTCCCAACCTTTTTTATGCTCGCACCCCTAAGAAAATTGTACTGTCCTCGCACCCCCTTTAAATTTATAGCTTATTTAACGATAAAGAAGGTGAATTTATACTAGATTTTATCAAAAAAAGAAAATGTTCTTTTTGATTTTCCAATATGTTAACAAAAATCTAACATATGGACAAGAAAACATGTCTCAGATTATTTAAATAAACCCTACAAAAAATAATAACTTGATTGAAATATCTATATTTAAAAATCATAGAATCAACTTTAAATAGTTTATACAAGTTTCAGTTCAATGGCTCTTTTCTTCCTATTTCTTGATAATTAGAAATAAATAGATTGATTGCTTATTTTCACTTCTCGCACCCCTATTTGGGATTATGGAAAGGTTACTTATAAAAAAGCAGCTAAATTTTCTTCTTTAACATGACTTTTACAGAATAGACTCATGACTCCTCACATATTTTGGTATAATTAACCCACTAACGCCCGCATATTTTGAAGCCGAAAATATTTTCTGGGCGGCTGCAAAATTGGCACGTGGGGTCGGCCCAGAATCTGCCCGTGCACCAGCCGCGGCCTGCAATGCATTCGGAGCGCGAGCTCAGATCAAAAGTCACACTGGCGGGATACCTGGCAATGTTTATTTTTCCGGATGTCTCATATATGGGACACCCATCGTAAATAGCTTAAAATGGATCTGATTATGAATTATCATCCCTGGTTAAATTATTGCTTTCATTTGGAAGAAATGGCATAAGGGAGGCCAAGAATGGAGCTCCCCACCCCCTCCGCAAGGGAAATGCAGCATTTGGTAAGGGTCTAAGTGTGAAGCCCCTGGGTTGGGAAGGGTTTATTGTTTATATGACAATCTTTGCAGTAGCTTGTGTATTTAGGATGGGGACATTTGTTGGGGACCTAGTCTTTGATGGGTGTGGTCATTTTGTATCACATTTGTAGGCAGAGGTGAAATCCTGTAAAATGCATACCTGCTACATGAATTTTATGGATAAAATTTTGAATAGTTTGATAGGGTCAAAATAAATAGTTTTTCCAGTTAGAAATGCCACCTTTCCTTATTCCACAAGTTTGGGAGACCTTTGGGAAATCAGGTTTTTGGGTATAGGGGAAGGAATGATACATTGTGAAAATATTTGATTTCGCCATACCATATGGTGCAATACGTAAGGTCAATAAACACCCTTCACGTACATTATGGCCAATTAGAGCTTAGACTTTTTCCTTGTTATGGATGAGTTGTCAGAGTATATCTCACATTGTCCTTGTGTAACCCTACTAAAACCAATACAGCAGTCACACATCTTTGTGATCCAAAACCAGCTTGGAACTGTCTCAAATAGTCAAACTGCATAGTCCTTCCTTATGATTAGCTTTTTTTAAATATTGATTTTCATTGATTATCTGCCAGACAGTCATTTTTCTTGATAGATGGCTCTTCTCTCTTTCTTACTTGAGTGGCCACTCATGTGTGTATGGCTTGTAGGTGGGGCACACACAAACACTCATGTACAATGTCAAAACTCCTTGCCTCCCCTTTCCAGTGTTATTTTCTTTTTCTGCATAAGCATTTTTTGCTTTGCCACTTCCATATTTTTGTATTTGTAATTTGATATATTGTATCCAGATAGGAATAGACTATTTCTCTTACATAGACTCTGTATCATCTCTCTAGGTTGTCCATAATTCAGTGCAGTAGCAATAACAATAAGTATCATTTTATAATTTGTATCGAAAAGATAATCATAATCATTTTTATGTATTACAATCAGTCACGGCAGGCTGGACTAAGAGCATGGAAATTTTTCCATGACATTACCTACCCCTCAAGCCAATTTTTTGTGGGACGTATGTCTTCACCAAGATCATAGGGATTAAACAGAAATTTGATACTCGGTTGTTTACCTGTGGAATACAAGAATTGATAAAGCAGGTTTACGTTTCTTAATTTTGTCAAATAAATTTTTATTTTCAGTTAATACAGGAAATTTCAGGAAAAAATATGAAAAGTATCATAGATTTCATCAATCTGTTGATTCCGTATATTGTCAGTTACGAATGTCTTACTCTAATTTTTACATTGATTTCTGCCTAAAGGGAAGTGTGTGGTTTTGTTATAAATCACACTCCTGCATAGTGTTTTGTATGCATAGTAATCATGGTTACCTCTGTACCTAACATATGTGTGGTGAAAATGTCTTTAAGCCTCCATGTATACTCTAGTAGGATAAAGCTGGTTTCTCATTTGATGATGTCTTCTTGGTGTATCAATCTGTATGTCATACTGCAACAAATATAGTTCCAGGATATACCAAATGACTTCAAAATGACTTAGATATTAGAGCTTTGCATTGTCTTGACCATTTGAACTGCTTTTTGTCTACAAGCATTAAACCCCCTTGATCTGGATGACGAGCATCATATGAAAAAGTTTGGCTTGAGGGGCGGGTGAAGTGAACATGCAGTTATGGGAAAATTTGGCTGAGCGATGCAAACTTTCCATCATGAGCATTTTTCCTGAAGGCTGAGATAATAGAAAAGAACTTCCCGCAAATGTGCAGACCTCTTGTAGGGTGTTTAGACTCATTTTTTGTTTAGAAAAGGGCTTTAGCAGTATTCCCATTGATAAACGAGTTTGGAATATAGTGTCTATTAGCTATGAATGGAAGAGTGCTCTAGGGAGAACACTCATGCAACCACGAGTTCCATATTTAGGAAGTCAGGATCCTTCATGGAAGATTCAAATTAACATAGGGTGCAGAAACCATTACATAAGCCTCATTTTAAATGTACATATTACTACAAAGATCACAGTATAAGCTGAAAACTCTCCTAACCTGGGGAGATTGTCCCTAAACATTTTCCCAGTTGCTATATCTTGCTAGCCAGGAGCTGTAACCCCTCTGGAACTACCTCTCAATTACTACATTTCCTACCTAGAAGCTTCACCCTTTACAATATTCAGTACAATTAAAAGTGTAAATTAGCATTATTGTATCTCATGATTGTAACAATATCATAAAGAATTAATTTTCACATGAAAATTGTGATGAAAAAACTCCTCGCTTCATCAGTTTGGACCATAGCAGCACAGTGATAACTGAATTTTCAAAGTTGCGAGTAAATGGTTGTGCATGTGAAACATATGGAACAAATATGCTCAGACATTTTTTTGAAGGTTACTGTATGAGTAGGCCTAAGTTGTTCGCTCAAGGCAAAGTAAAGCTAAATTCGGTCATGGTGTGTGGGGAGGGACTTGGGTAGTTCGTTCTCTCTCTCTCTCTCTCTCTCTCTCTCTCTCTCTCTCTCTCTCTCTCTCTCTCTCTCTCTCTCTCTCTCTCTCTTCTCTCTCTCTCTCTCTCTCCTCTC